CGAGCGTACGTCACGAGTAAAACGTTCTGCTCGTTGTTTCCTCGTGTGCAAATGTTTTACGCGCATCTTTTACCACCGTTTTATCGATCTGGCTAGCCCGAGGACGGCGATAAAGCCGCTATTTTTAGTCCATCAGTTCCACAAATACGAAGCTTTGATTCTTTGTTTCGCTTTCCGACCTTTGAACCCGACTGATTAGAGGGGCGTTCGAAACCACACGAGGAAGCGCGTGTACTAATCACCGTAAGAGCCGAGCTGAAATCGAACGAAACTGAACAAGCGTGCTAACGCTTCTTCGTCTTCTTCTTCTTCTTCTTTCTCTTGTCGACGAGTTGACGCCACGGCACGTGTTGTACGCGTACGAACGATGAATCAGCCGCGAAGATACGTCGCGGATGATCGTCGATTCGTGTTAGTTTCTCGAATAAAGGACAATAGAGCGTGTGCGTCAGCTCGCGGTCGGATCGTCGACCGGATCTGTTCAATCTCAAGCTAACCGAGCGTTGTCTATAGGTCAAGCTCTGTGTCATCGATGCGTCGGTATCCCGGTTCGAGAGGCCTCGACGCCGGTCGGCAATAACTCCGCTACCAGAGGAGCCGGAGACGGGCCCTCTGACCCCGGTGCCTGTGCTGGTTGCGGAAACCAATTACGGGAAGGTCAGGCTTTGGTCGCTCTTGATCGACAATGGCACGTATGGTGCTTCAAATGTCACAGCTGCGACACCGTGCTCCATGGAGAGTACATGGGCAAGTGAGTGGAAAGATGAACGCTCTCCGTTTCTCGTCCCTCTAAGAGGAGACGGGGATTTTTTTTCATATATATAAGATCTTTCGCTCACAGATTTCTAACTGGAGCTTACATAACTTGTGAAATTTTCATGGAGTAGTAGGACCAATTAAGACTGAACGAAGAAGAAACTGGAGAAAGTACGGTTTAGAAAAGAGCTCGAGGAGCATTGAAATTTCGCTGAATTTTTTTCATAGAACAAATCGGTCGGTCTGTTTGTTCGCTCTAACGCGCGAGATTAGAATCGAGAGAAAGCTAGTTATTGGTCAAGCACATTCCAGTCAGCAGTCCGCTTATTCGGAATAAACGAAATTCCTTCGATTTTGATCAACAGAGACGGGGTGCCTTACTGCGAGAAAGATTACCAGAAGCAGTTTGGTGTGAAATGTGCCTACTGCAATCGTTACATCAGCGGAAAGGTGCTGCAAGCTGGCGACAATCATCATTTTCACCCGACCTGCGCTCGTTGCACCAAGTGCGGCGATCCTTTCGGTGACGGAGAGGAGATGTACTTGCAGGGGGCCGCCATTTGGCATCCGCGTTGCGGACCAGGTCCTAGCAGTCCAAATGGTATCGTGAATGGCCACGGCGAAGCTCACACGCCGCAGCATCGAGAGTCAGAGCGGATCTCCAGCAGCGCTTCGGAGATGCAGGTAAGATCAGTGTGGATCCAGAGAGCTAAAGAAGTCAAAAGTTCAAGACCACCGACCCTTTGACTAATTTCATCGAGGTGAATGAAATCGCATTCAATCGAATGATCGATTAACAGAACAGGATACGACTGTAATCATTGTATTATCAAATAGCGATTTTCAATTGTCACTTTGTTCGTGACCGCGAACTGTTGAAATTGGAACTGGCGAAAATTGTATATTGTTTCTGTAAAATATTGTATCATAAACATGTACATATGTTCGTTATCAGCATTATTCGTCTGTGTATAAGATGGTGGCCGTTCCGTTTGTTTCATCGTTTTATCGTTGTTCATCTTGATCATTATGTAGTGATGTCGTCTTGGAATCCATTTCTCACGGGATCAGTTACGCGTCATTCGAACTCGGTTAACCATTAACATTTTTACACGCGGATGTAATATCTATCGTCGTCCGTTTCCATATTTTGTAACGAGTGATTAATCGCACGACATTCATTTCGTACGTTGACATTCGTAATTAACGCGTGCACGTCGCTGTCTACGTCCGCCAATTGCATTCTTTTACCCGTTCAGTTGCATCGTACACCGTTGAACGACCTAAATCGTGTCCGTGCGCATACTTGAATTTTGAGGTTTGCCGTCCGATCGTAAGAAAAACAAAAAGATAACCAAGAAGGGAAGTATGTTGCTCTCGAGCCAATTCTGACTCGAAAAGAGAGGGAGAGGGAGAGGGAGAGGGAGAGGGAGAGAGAGAGAGAGAGAAAAGTACATGAAACACAAAGTTCAGCTTGCATCGTGCTTATATTTGGACTGTTTTACAACAAGTATTTCGTGTGAAACGTTTTTGCGCTGCTCCGTTAATTTTTGTGACTGTTATACCAGAGCCATTTAGAGTAGACCATTCTAGAGGCTAAAGTACCTATCTTTTTTTTCGTAACTGGCTTTGTGTATAGCTTCGTTTCTACTTTATTACGACGGTATACATATTATGTGGCTTTTAACATGCATTTGTTCCTTAACATGTCATTGTATACTTTACCGCACGCTTCGATATGTCCGAAGTTTTATATACATATATATATATACATATATATAATATACATATCTTTATATATATATCGTACATACTTCATACATAATTTTTTATCTTCTTTATTATTTTTTATTTTTATTATTGCTTTCTTAATTGTTGTTTCCTTTTTTTTTT